CAGCCTGGACCACAAACTGGCCTACTTAGTTCACAGAGGCAGTTCAGTGTAAATATTAGATTTCCATTCTGGAGGCAGCTAGTCTTGGCACTGAACTTGAATCTTGTGCTTAATAGCTGTTTGATCCATCTTCTCATCTGCAAAATTGGTGATGGTAATAATCTTCTTTATATTAAATTAAATAACAAAGTAGAGCCTTCTGATGAACAGTCATTGTTATTAGTCATTTGCCTTTCATTCTTCATTCTTTGAACCAATCCTGCTAGAAATATAAAATGCTCAAGAGTAGACCCTTTAATCAAGGGTCTGGTGCTACACAACCATACTCTTTATCTGAAGCCTTTTATTCTTGTCATACATGGGTATGGGAGAATGAAATTGAAGTTTATTTATCCTAAGCCCTCTCATTCCCCTCCCCCAAGAAAGATTTTATTTTTGTCATATCAAAGACAGGTTCTACCTTCTTATCTTTGATTCTGTGAATTACCTCATGTCTTTTACCTATATCCATTTGTGCTTGCCAGAGATGGTTTTAGTCTTTTAGAAAAAGCAAAGCCTAAGTGAAACAAGCATTAAGTACAATCTTTGGTATAGAGTGGGTGCTCATATTGTATGTTCATATTGTTATTTTCACAACTGAAATCTTCTCTAGCAGCACTTCCACTAGATTTTCTATGATCCTACAAGTGGAACCAAACACTCAGGACTCAAGATCATAAAATGAATGGATATTGGTTCAGGAATTATGACCACTGAAGACCCTCTTCCCAGACTTCACTCTCCTGCCCTCCAGATCTAGCCAGGAACCAGAGAATACAAGAGAACTCATGGAAATGTCAGATAAGGAATTTAGAATATTCACAGTGACAAAGCTAACAGAGATGCAAGAGAAGAGAGACAACAAACTCCAGAAGATGCAGGAGAAGAGAGACATTGAGTTCCAGGAAATGAGGAAGTTCTTGCATGATCTGAAAGAAGAGATACACATCATAAAAAAGAATCAAATGGAGATGAAGACTGTAAAACAGGAAATCAAAACTTCCCTTGAAAACATCAAAAGCAGATTAGATCACACAGAAGATCAAATCTCAGATATAGAAAATAGAACATCTGACCTAGAAATATTCACCAAAAAGACTGAGAAAATAACCCTCCAAAATGAGAAGAACTTATGAGTAATACTAGATACCATTAAACGCACAAACATCCAGATCATCGATATCCCAGAAGTTGAAGAAACTAATAAGGGTATTGATAATCTATTCCAGGAAATCCTAGAAAATAACTTTCCAAACCTAGAGAGCCACTCAAATATCCAGACCCAAGAAATACAAAGGACCCCACATAGAATCAACCCAAGAAGATCTTCCCCCAGGCACATCATAGCCAGATTTACCAAAACCACAGAGATAAGGTTTCAAATTTGGCAAGAGAGAAACATCAAGTTACTTTCAAAAGATATCCCATCAAGCTAACGTCATACCTCTCATTGGAAACAATGCAAACAAGGAAAGAATGGGTAAATATATTCAAAGTGTTAAGTGAAAAACAATTTCAACCAAGAATACTGCAACCAGAAATACTATCTTTCATATGAGAAAAAAAAAAGACAAAAAAAATTCTCAGATAAACAAAACCTGAAAGAATTTACCAACACCAGACCAGCTCTCCAAGAAGTGCTGAGGGGAGTGCTATACCAGGAAAACTAAAGTCAAACACATATAAATAAGAGTACAAAAAATAACCAAGAGAATGGTCAGCCTAATGGTAGGGACAAACCGAAGAGCTGAATGTTAACTTTCAGAGTTTAAATGGAAAGATCAGACCACAGTAACACTGTCAATTCAATAGAAGAGAGATTAACTATGTGAGTCTGAACTCATGAAATAGAATTTTTTTGACTTTAGACTAAAACATTACTGAGTCTCTTTGATGCTTTGATTTCCATATTTAAGGATTTTTGTCTTCTCTTGAACTGTTGATACACTCATCTACCTACTATTTGAACTCAATCCTAACCTTTTCCCTGGCTTTAAGTTTTAAGCAATTTCTCTTAATGTTTTTCAGTTTTGATCTATTAAAATTAAAAAGGTTTTTCTTGAAATAAAAAAGCATTAAAAATACCTATTAATACCCATTTAATGACTTCAGTAAGCTATATTGCCCCAGTGAGGTGCTAATTTATAGTATATTCACTTTGCTCACTGAGGTTTACACCTAAAGTCAGACATGTGTCCATAGATATGTATATATAAGGTGTGCTTGCTATTGAAAGTTTTTTAATTAATTAATATTTTTCATGAATCAATAAAATTTGAAAAAAGCTATGAAAAACAACTGTACATACCAGAGACAGTGTGTATGGGAAGGGAGATTGGCAGAGGGTGAGAGGTAGGGAATCAAGCAGTGGGCGAGGAAAATATATAAGAAACAAGAAATAAAAAATTATTTGTTGATAACATTTATGGTAATATCCTTGATTGAGCCAATATACAATGTATTCTGGTTAGAAAATCTCATTTTGTATACTGTATTGATGTACAGTGTATAACTAAATAAAGAAAGAAAAAAGTCATAAAAATAAATGGATACAATTTTATTTTCTGAATTTGATACCTTGATAAACCAGTCTGGACTCACAATAACTGCTAAGGTGCTGACATCTCATGATGGGTACACACAGGTCCAGTCCACCACCTATGTTCCAGGTATTACCACAAGAGAATACCATATAAGCAATACAGGTGCTAGAGTAAATACAGTAATTCATAAAAAAGAGAGATCATTGATGTCCAAGGACAGGATCTCACTTGGACTTTAAAGAATTGCTAAGATTAAGATAGGTAGTGAGGAGAAGAGGATGTTACAATCAAGGTGTGGAGGGGCAGTGTGAGCAAAGGCATGCAAAGACACGTTTGAGGACGATGAGTAAATTATTTAGCTTAAGCAGATATCTATTATAGAAGAATGGTAGTACATAATGTTTGAAAAGGGTAGCTTGGAATTCATTTTAAACATAAAATTCTAGAAATGGTCCAGTTAAAAATATCCCTATGAAAGAGATTTTTTTTCAGTATCATCACCATCATCTCTGTCTATAAACAATACAAAATGTAAAAGCATTTTACATTTTACATGATCTCTCCTGGATGTAATTTGAAACTGTGGAACAGTAAAGAGTTCTTGGTGACCTTCAGAAGGGACACTTGGAAACACATACATTCTTATATAAGACTTCTTATATAATCATGATTTGAATACATTCCAGAGACTGCGTGGGTAGAATGTTCAGAAAGTAGCACCTGAAGAGGAAAAGTTCCTTAGGCACTGATTATACAAATTCCATATGAATAATTTGATGAAGACAAAAGGCTTAAGAACAGTTAATAATTTCCAAGGGTTTTTATCATCTACTTTCCAATAAAGACATGCTTTGATACAAGGCACGAAGTGTCTACAAAATAAAACCTAAGCACAGTCTCTAAACAGATGCTTATCAGCCCTGAGAACTGCCAAAAAAGCTATTAAGCTGATGTTTTCCATGATGATAGTCTCCACCACCCTGTTAGAAGACATGACATCGCTTTGTCCTTACCAGGCAGAGGTGGTGTTGGTGGTAGTGGTGGGGGGGTGGAAGATGAAGGTCTATGGAGTAGTGTTTGTAGGGGAGGAGATCCGTTGATTTACCAACTAGCTATATACACATCTAGTTGAATACTCCCCATTTGGAAGCCCTTGAGATAACAGGGATTCAGATGATATAAAAAGCAAATCCAGGCTCTACTGAACCAGTACAGACGGCAATCATGGCAAAGCTTCTTCTCTTCACAGGTGAGTTTGTAATCAGAGAAAGAGCCTTAATCTTATGGATTTCTTTTTCCCTCAGGACCCGACAGCCATGAAGTGGTTTTCACACTATACCTGTATGCTTTTCCATTCTTCTTCTTCTATTAAAATTTCAAATTTTCAAGAGTATCCTGGCAGCTACAACTCAGTCTGCTTCTTTTTCTGTTAACCTCAATTAACATTTCTGGGAACATTTCTGCCTTCATTAACCCCACAGTCACAGTCCTACAATAAAGGTTCTTCATCTTCCAATGCTTGTCTTCTTCTTTCATCTTGTCTGTGTTGTTCCTTTGTCTACATTCATCTTCCTGCCACTTTGTTCTAATTGGTATTATACTTATTTACATACTTGAGTCCTTGGTCTAGCTTTTCCATGAATATAAAACAGTAGAAATTGAGACAGAGTAATACAAATAGTCTTTTTTACTATTTTGAACTGAGAGTAATACAAATAGTCTTTTTTACTATTTTCAGAATTATTTCCCTTTTATACTTTTTTATTCTGAGTTGATGATGTACCATAAAAATACGACTACTGGACATTCAATATTTCAGAGATTCAGTACATTGTTTAGAGCCAAGTCATATCCAGAATTTATTAGTTGCTTTAAAGCTGTGACTTACAAACTTTTGTAACCTTTAGAATGTTTTCTGGGGACAAGTAGAAAGTGTAATGGTTACATTGCTGGACTCACATGCAGTCGACTGCTGTTCAACTCCCAGACTTGGTAGCTTAAAACTCACGCTGGGTGGGTGTGCATGCATGCCCAAAATCCCGAGAAGAGACTGGAGGAGAAGGGATTGTGGCTTTGCCACCCCCCCCCGGGGGGGGGGACAATTTCTCATTTTTTATCTCTCTGTCTCTCCAGCGAGCACATGCACCCCATAGTAAAATCTTCTCTAAAAAAATAAATAAATAAAAGAATCTTTTCTGAATAAAATCCCAAGCTCAGTTTATCAAACAACTAAAGCAGACATGCTTCAGTAGAAACCAGGAGAGACATATGGAATCTTCACAGTTCTTAATTGTTTTCTCTTCCTATCAGAGTTCCAAAAGGTGGCTCCAATAAAGCTCCTAAGGCTCCAGGAAATGCTGAATTCTATGTGAGAATGCCTTGTCTGTTGGATGGCAGTATTCATCCCAGTGCAGGGGGGTGAGGCTGGATGGGTGTGTAGTTGTGTGTAGAGTGAATTTGGGATAATTTCACCAGGTACGTCTTCCATAGGTAGTAGACTTCACACTCCACATTCACAATCTGCATTTCTGACATGTAAAGTGGGAAAAGAAGGCACCATAGCCATTTTTGGTTAAAGAAAGCAAGGGCACTTTTGTTGGTATATTCACTGAGAAATCTATTCTTTGGTGTAATCAGTAAGTTTCACTCGGACTGTAACAATCTACGGTATATAAGATGGCACCCACAATCTTAGAATTAGGTTCTGAAGGACGCAAAGCATTGGCTTAGAGCATTTTGTTTTTCCTTTCCCTCTAGGTCTGGCCCTTCTGCTGAGTGCTCAGCTGGGTAAGTCATGGACCCTCTGTTTTACAACTGACGTAACCTCTTCCTAACAGAGATCTCAAATCCTTATAAATTATTCAGAGTGCAATTGTCTACTTAATATATGTGCTTTTTTTCTAATATTGTGCAGGTTTTGTTTGTTTTTAATTTGTCAAGAGAGAAACCATACTAGGGAAAAAGAGCTGCTATGTATTTCACAGACAGATAGGTTTGACTTGAGAGGAATCTACTGTTCTGAATGGACTGTATCCCTTCAGCATGACCACCACCTGGGAGTTATAAAGTTGTGTTCATTGAACATCATAGGACTGCTGGGCATCTTTTCTTAGAAAGCTGCTAGGCTTATCCAAAACTCCAAAATTAATCTCTCAAAGCTGAAAAAATATTCAGTGACTAATTTCTAGGTTAGAGTCTGTGGACTTGTCAGAAAGAAAAATCATACTAACCACCTGCATGTATGTAATGCATTTGAGACACAGGAAAGGAAACAGAGGCAGGGCCCAAACTTAGAGCCCACTTAATGGTAATCATAAAGGAAACATTGGTCCTTGCTCCTTACTGTTCAAAGGTTCTGCCTACCAGCTGACCTGCTACTTCACCAACTGGGCTCAGTACCGACCAGGCCTGGGGCGCTTCAAGCCTGATAACATCGACCCCTGCCTCTGTACTCACCTCATCTATGCCTTTGCTGGGATGAAGAACAATGAAATCACCACCATTGAATGGAATGATGTGACTCTCTACCAAGCTTTCAATGGCCTGAAAAACAAGTAAGAAAGGGGGAAATATCTCATTTGGATTTCCTGGGTCAGTGTTTAAGTCTTTAACCCATTTAAACTTGATTTTTATATATGGTATGAGAAAAGGGTTTAATTTCGTTCATCTGCTGTGGATAGGACTCTGCATTTCTAACAAATTACCCACACATTCTTCTGGTCAGGAGCTACATTTCAGGTAACAAAGATGTAGATAACATAACACATTGCCTGCTGTAGTATATATTTAAAAATAAATAAATAAAATACTGGTTCTACTTCTTCCTTTCTCTGTCTTCTCTTAGGACCCAGGAAACTGTAAGTTATCTTAACTACTTGTATCAGGGAACAGGAAGTACAGGACATTAAAACTAGTAATCAGCAAGCCCAAGAATTAGAAGGGTTCCCTTTGTTTTAGTAGAGTTCTCTTTTGTGTAAAAATAAAACAAACCCTGGTATCTTTTGATTAATAGAGTCATTCAATTTAGCCATATCCAGAAGAAAGAAGGCTACAGGGAATCGCCATCATCAGTAATGGCATCATTGTGAATGCAGCTACTAGAATTTAAGTTATGAGTCCTTTAAAGCAGTGTCTCTTCAAGTGTGGTCCATTGACTACTTGCATCAAAATCACAGGGGGCACCTGATAAAAATGCCAGTCCCCATTGCAGTCCAGCGGAATCATAATCTCTGGAGATAGGACTATAAACTTGTCCTCCCACAGTCTTTGCACTTAACTCTTATGTGAACTGATGCTTAAGATCAACTATTTCAGGGAACCAGCAGTTAGCGTAATGGCTATGTCGCTGGACTCCCACATTGTCCACCGTGGTTCGTGTCCCGGACCCGGTGGCTTAAAACTCACGCCGGGCGCGTGTGCATGCGTGCCCAAGATCCCAAGAGGAGAATGGAGGAGAAGGGATTGTGGCGTGACCATCCCCCCTGGGGGGTGATTTCTCGCTTTCTGTCTCTATGTCTCTCTCTGTCTGTCTGGCGAGCGCACGCGCCCTACAGTGAAAATCTCTCCAAAAAAAAAAAAAAAAAAAAAAAGATCAACTATTTCAGAGATTGTGTGTAATTCTTTTTTTGGAAAGGTTTTTGCTATAGGGCGGTTTGTTCTCCAGAAAGACAGAGAGAGACATAGAGACAGAAAGCGAGAAATCACGCCACAGTGGGGATGGCCACACCACAGTCCCTTCTCCTCCATTCTTTTCTCGGGATCTTGGGCACACACGTACACGTGCCCAGCGTGAGTTTAAGCCACCGGGTCTGGGATTCAAACCATAGTCAACTATATGGGAGTTCAGCAACATAGCCATTACGCTAACTGCTGGTCCCAGAGATTGTGTGTAATTCTAAGACAATTAATTTATGCTAATTGCCATAGAAGTTGAGAAAGTAATTATGCTCATGCAACATTTGCCATTTCATCTGATGGAATAGAATACGTGCTAACTATGCTCTTAAGTTGTATATATCAAAAGTATTCCTGGGAACCAGCAATTAGCGTAATGGCTATGTCACTGGACTCCCACGTAGTCAATCGCGGTTCGCGTCCTGGACCCAATGGCTTAAAACTCACGCCGGCGCGTGTGCGTGCGTGCCCAAGATCCGGAGAGAAGAATGGAGGAGAAGGGATTGCGGCGTGACCATCCCCCCTGGGGGGTGATTTCTCGCTTTCTGTCTCTATGTCTCTGTCTGTCTGGCGAGTGCACGTGCCCTATAGCGAAAAACCTCTCCAAAAAAAAAAGTATTGCTAATGCATTCCTTTCAAAGAGAAAAAAAAGAAAGCCCAGTTCCATAATTTAGATTTTCCTAAGGAACCCAGAGTGCTTTTATAATAATAACACAAAGAATTTTTATAAAGAACATTTTCAGTAGCAAAGGAAAATTGTTCTACAGTATATCATATTGTATCATACATCATCATAAATCATATCATATATCATATCATATCATCATGGCAACAGCAATGTATATGATCAGGCCCAATACTAAAGCAGTGTTATTTTAAATAGAGGGATTCATGAATTTTTGAAAATTTTCTTTCTTATGCTTTGCTTTACAGGAACAGCCAGCTGAAAACTCTCCTGGCCATTGGAGGCTGGAACTTTGGAACTGCCCCGTAAGTCTCTATGGAGAGCCTGTTGTTCGTTTGTATTTAAAACAAATTAGACTGGTCCCTTGCTTCCATTAGATTTCATGATCTAAGACATAGTATTAGGGATGTACATTAAACAAGCACACTAATCAAATAAGTTACTATACCAGAACTTCATTATTAAGTAGTCCACAATTTATTTCACATATTTACAATTGGTAGATATTCTAGGACCACGTGCACAGAGATTTAGCAACTAAGATTCCAAATCGATGTTTTCTTAAAGTATTTCAAAAATACAATTTTAGGCCAGCTGATGGCTGGATTCCACATAGCTGTGTGGTACGAGTCCCAGACCCAGTGGCTTGAAAAACACACCAGGCATGTGTGTGTGCCTAAAATCCCAAGAAGAGAATGGAGAAATGGGATTGGGGCATGGCCATCCCCCTGAGAGGTGCTTTTTCACTTTGTCCCTCTGTCTCTGTGGAGCACATGCACTCTATAATAACACTAAAACAAATCAAAACAAAAAGAGGACAGACCTGAAAAGGGTGTTAAAACAATGCTTTTTTTCTGTTTACCTTTTGGGAAAAGGAAAGAAAAAGTCATGTAAATATAAACAAGACCTTTTTTGAGAGTCTGTGAGTTTAGGAGACTATCTGGAGAGAGAACAGAGTGAGCTGAAATAGCTGGGTGTTTAAAGCAACAAGAGTAACTTGGGAGAAAGATCAGAGTTGGGGGATAACAAAATAAAGGGAACCTTGAGATACCAAGAGTGGCAAGTGTAGTAATTACAAAGGAAGGTCAGTAGAAAACCAGAAATATGCTTAACCTACACTGAGTCCTGGTGAAAGACTCTGAGGCAGAAATTGGGAAGTTTAATTTTATTCCAAAGCAGCAAAGCTTCACCCTATCCTGCTTGGGTCTTCCTCAGTTTCACTGCCATGGTTTCCACTCCTGAGAACCGCCAGACTTTTATTGCTTCAGTCATCAAATTCCTGCGCCAGTACGAGTTTGACGGGCTGGACTTTGACTGGGAGTACCCTGGCTCTCGAGGAAGCACGCCTCAGGACAAGCACCTCTTCACTGTCCTGGTGCAGGTAAGGAGAGAAACAGCAATCTTTAGCCCATGAAAATTCAAAGCCTAGTCTTTCGAAGAATTGGTTGGTTCCAAAGTAAAGCTAAACTAGAATTTAGAATTATAGAATCTTAGCATCACAAAGGTTCTTAGATATCATGCATTCATTCAACAAGCATTTAATAACATCTATGCTATGTGACAGGCAGTACTCTACATGCTATTTTAAGGGCCATACCTCATTTCATCTGCACATTTACTCTCCGGAATAGGTACTATTAGTACTATGATCTTTATTTTACAAGTAAGGAAACTAAGGTATGCAGAGGGTTTAGGTAACTCGCCCAAGATCACACAACTAGTAGGTATCATATCTACCCATACAGTCTGTCTACAGAGTCCCTTGGTTCTGTTATATTAGACTATTATTACTGAGTAAACACTCTACTAAACACTGTGTTGTGTCAGGCTAAAGATTAGATTAAAACACAATCCTTGGCTTTAAGAACACATTATCTGAGGTAGAAGACTGAAAAAATGCCAAATAATTACAGTACATTTTGCCATGATCTCTTTTTTGCAGAGTACAAAATAAAAAGAGAGTGAGTACCTAATTCTACTCTGGGACAGGATTAGAGAGCATTTTCTAAAGTGATACTTGAGCTTAGTTGTGAAAGAAACTGGTGTTAACCAGTCAAGTGAAGATGAAAATGGCACAAGTGAAGAAATACAGACATGTGTGAGCAAGTGTGTGAGTAATTGTGAGGTTGCACAGTTGGCAAGAGTCAGATCATGTCAGAACTTTCATATTACATTCAGGAATTTGGACATTACCCACAAGGCAATGGGATAGCTTTGAAGGATTTTAAATAATGGAGACATGACAAAACTTGTGTTTTAGAAAGATTATTCTGGCTTTGTCCATGGAAGTTGAGTTAGAAGGAGATGAAGAAGCAAAGACAGAGCTAGGAGGCTATCCCAGTAAAACAAGCAAAAGATGCTGAGGGCCCCCAACAAAGGCTCTCACATTGGAGGAAGAAGGGGATATATAGGGACAGCATATGGTGTAATGGTTATGTCACTGAACTCCCATGTAGTTGACCATAGTTCAAGTCCTGGACTTGGTGGCTTAAAACTATACCAGTATGTGGGGAACCAGCAGTTGGCATAATAGCTATGTCACTGGATTCCCACGTAGTCGACTGCAGTTTGTGTCCCGGACCCGGTGGCTTAGAACTCACGCCAGGTGCGTGTGCATGCGTGCCCAAGATCCCAAGAGGAGAAAGGAGGAGAAGGGATTGCGGCGTGGCCATCCCCCCTGGGGGGTGATTTCTCACTTTCTGTCTCTATGTCTCTCTCTGTCTGGCGAGCACACGTGCCCTATAGCGAAAAAAACTCTCAAAAACAAACAAACAAACAAACAAAAACTATACCAGTATGTGTGCCTGCATGCCCAAGACATCAAGAGGAGAATGGAGGAGAAGGGATTGCTGCATGGCCATTCCCCCAGGGGGGTGGTTTCTTGCTTTCTGTCTCTCTTTCTCTGTCTCTCCAGCGACCATATGTGCCCTATAGCGAAAAACTCTCTAAAAAAATAAGGGGACATGTAGAAGAAATAGCAAGAGAATAGAACCAATAGGATTTAGAGATAAATTGGAAGTGAGAAAGAGGACTCCCAGTTTTCTGACTTTGAGGACTGGTTTGATTGTGGTGTTATTAACTGAAATGGCAAATACAGGAATAAGAGTTGATATGGAGTAAGAAGAACTGATTTACTTTTTAACATGATAAGCATGAGATATCTGTAGGACATCCCAAGGGAAGACCCAATAGACATTAGATAAACACCAATCTGAAGCTCAAAAAAACTTGATATGCCATATGGAAGTCATAAGCAAGGATAGGTGCTCACCAAGGAAAAATGAATAGAATGAGAAAAGCCAAGGACTAAAGATGTTTTTTAGATTTATTCTCTCCCAGGACAGATTCTTTTCTATACTATTCCATATACCAGATTGTCAACTAGACTCTGGATAGCTTCAATGTTAAGTAACTCACTAGGTAAAAAGTCAGCATATGGGCCAGTGGATAGCAAGGAGTGTAAGGTGGCTGAATCCCACATGGCCAATTGCCAGTTTGGGTCCTGGACCCTGCAACCTGAAAAACTTACCAGGCACATATGTGTGTGTGCCCAAAATCCTGAGAAAAGAATGGAGAAGGGTTTGTGATGTGGCCAGCCCCGGGGAAGGAGAAATGTGCTTTCTCACGTTCTCTCTCTCTCTGTTTCTGTCTGTCTGAGAGAGCACATGTGCCTAATGGCAAAAAATTTTAAAATGAAACAAAAGGCAATTTACTTATTCGTTGAACAGTTCTAATGATCAGAAAGAACATCTCTATTCTTAGCTGAACCATGCCTCCAATCATAATTTATTACTTCCTGTCATTGATTCAGTTATGCCCACTGAAGTAACAGAGAACAAGTTAACTGCACCTTTTGCAAGGCAGGGGTTCAAATATCGAAGACAGTTACAATGTCTTTCTTATAATTTCTCTTATTCTGGTTAAATATCCTGTTTCCTTTCATTCTGTATCTACATGGCAATTTTCAGAGCCACTCTTTACTAAAACACACTCTGACACACTTTCATAATGTGATTATAAGAACTAAACCCTTATTCCAAATGAAATTAGAGCGACACAAAACAGCTAATTTCACCTATAGCATTGAATGAGAATCTACTAACTGTTATCACCTTCATTGGCTAGCACAGCATTTCATTTGATAGGATATTAGTCCTATAAAATTATTCATCTATTAAACAAATGGAAGAAATGTTTGTACTGGTAAAAGCTGGATGTAGGTTATCATATAAACTGTAGCTTCATAGTGTAATTACGTAAGTAGGGGCTCTGGGTTATCTGGGACCTGGGTTCTGGTCATCCCTAGTGACTAACTTGCTGTGGGACTTTGATGAAATTTTATAACTATTATGCATATTAGATGTCTATAAAATTGACTATGTCATCTATTCTGTAAACTTTATTGAGATGTTGAGAGACTAAAGTAAGATAATATATGTGAATGCACTTTGAAAAATAAATATTCATATATTTATTATTATTTAAAGAGTTGAAAAGTAGCTTAATAACTCCTCTATAATACCTCTTTATTTTGTAGGTAAGATAAGCTGTGTGAATGCACTTTGAAAAATAAATAATTATTCAAATATTTATTATTATTTAAAGAGTTGAAAAGTAGCTTAATAACTCCTCTATAATACCTCTTTATTTTGTAGGAAATGCGTGAAGCCTTTGAGCAGGAGGCCAAGCAGATCAACAAGCCCAGGCTGATGGTCACTGCTGCAGTGGCTGCTGGTATCTCCAACATCCAGTCTGGCTATGAGATCCCCCAGCTGTCCCAGTGAGTGATGCACCTTATCTTCAAATTCCTGTAGGCGTCACTTAGGCAGAGTCCACTTGTCCTTGGTCTGTCTCGATGTTCAGGAATGTTATCTAGGAGGCTTTGGAAGTGGTGTCTAGCCTGCGCAAGTGTGTGAAGTGACCACGATCAATTATTTTTAAAACCTCTACCCCACCTCAGGTACCTGGACTACATCCATGTCATGACCTATGACCTCCATGGCTCCTGGGAAGGTTACACTGGAGAGAACAGCCCCCTCTACAAATACCCAACTGACACTGGCAGCAATGCCTACCTCAATGTGGTAAGTCCCTGCACAGATGCAAATGCAGACAAGAGATGATCACACACATCAGTAAAGATTTGCGTACAAAATAAGCATGGATTTTATAAATGCCTCACTTGCACAACTGTCCTCTTAAGTCACTAAGCAAGCTCTCATCATAGCTTCACCAAAATGTCCACACTAATCCTTCATTAACATCATACAACTTTATCTGTCAGAACAAGAGACTAACATAACTCATAACTTATGAGCATCTGGCTAACCCATTGCCATTGCAGGACTATGCCATGAACTACTGGAAGGACAATGGGGCCCCAGCAGAGAAGCTCATCGTTGGATTCCCTGCCTATGGACACACTTTCATCCTGAGCAACCCCTCTAATACTGGAATTGGTGCCCCTACCTCTGGTGCTGGTCCTGCTGGCCCCTACACCAGGCAGTCTGGGTTCTGGGCCTACTATGAGGTAGGTAGTTTGGGCCAATACAGAACTCTATGAATTTCATGCACTATGCTGAACAGTAGCCTTGGATGAGAATCCACAGAAATCTTGCACATTCATTCTATCTACCATGTATCTTCTTTAAACAGTGTCATTCTAGATGCGTATGGTGTTTGAGTAATATACAGTTGGCTCTCCCCAGCTGCAGGTTCTACATTCACAAATTCAGCCAACCATGGACTGAAAATGTTATACTAAAGCTGACCTGTACTATGTAGTCAGGCTTATTACGTTGGGCCTAAACTGAACAAAGCCAGATTTTTTTTTTGTCCTTAGTCCTTAAACAATACAGCATGGGGGCCAGCAGGTGGCATAGTAGCTAACCTGGCAACTTGAAACTCATGCCAGGTGCATGTGCATGCTTGCCTAAAATCCCAAGAAAAGAATGGAGGATATTGCAGCATGACCATTACCCCTGGGGAAGAGAGAAGGAATTCTGATTTTCTGTCTTTCTCTGTCTCTCTGGCATGTGCATGTGCTTGATAGCAAAAATCTCTCAAAAAACAAAAAACAAAAAAACAAAACAAAAAAAAAACAGCATGACAATTATTTCTACAGCATGTACATTATATTAAGTATAAGTAATCTAGAGATGATTTGATTTAAAGTTTATGAAAGAATGTGCATAAGTTGTAGGTAAATACTATCCCATTTTATGTAAGAAACTTTAGCACACATATTTATTTTGGTATCTGCAAAAGTCCAGAAACCAACCCCCTGTGGGTACTGAGGTACAACTGTATTTATTTACTTAATTAAAAGAAGTGCACTTAATATTGTGCAAATCCCTTCAAGCAACAGACCATAAATTTGAGGTTACAATTATATTAGCATACAAGGCAATAAAATAAATACATCTCTTATATTTCCAAAATCAACCACCAAGAATAACGACAATACATGAGTATTTGAAAAGCAAGCTGATTTTTTTTTTTACTGCAAAGAAAAACTCATAATGTAATTAGAAAACTGGGAAAAATCTCAACTGGAGTCATGAAAGAAAAAGTCAAAGAGGCTACACATGTTTTCTTTCATAGAGTAACATTTAAATATATGAATCTCTTGCCTTTTCAAAGATCTGCACCTTCCTAAAGAATGGAGCCACTCAGGCATGGGATACCCCTCAAGATGTGCCCTATGCCTATCAGGGCAATGAGTGGGTTGGTTATGACAACGTCAAGAGCTTCAATATCAAGGTAAGTTCAGTCCCTCAGAGGAGGTCCCAACTCTGAGCCCCAGGAAATCAAATGACACCTGCTATCCTCTACCCTTAAACAGGCTCAGTGGCTTAAGCAGAACAACTTTGGAGGTGCCATGGTCTGGGCCATTGATCTGGATGACTTCACTGGCACTTTCTGCAACCAGGGCAAATTCCCCCTGATCTCTACCCTCAAGAATGCCCTTGGCCTGCAGAGTGCAAGTAAGTGACAGCAAAGCGATGCTCAAAGTGTATAAATGTTCCTTCTCCAACTCAAAAGACAGCCTGACATCTGCCCACCCCCATTGCCCAGGGACCTTCTTCCCATTTCACCTCACTGCTCTTGCCCAGGTGAGAGATATGTGCTACCTCCTCCCCTCCATCCCATTTCACCTCACTGCTCTTGCCCAGGTGAGAGATATGTGCTACTTCCTCCCCTCCACACCCACCATGAACTTCCAGGTCAGGAATTTCATGCTCTTATGGGAAACCAGGCCTACCTGGGTGGATTTGGAGGGTCTCATCATTCTTAATGCTTTAGAAGATCCTCAAAAAATTATGCCAAGCTTCCATACAAGCTTCTACTTCTCTGTGAATCCCTTGTTCAATGTCTCTCTCAGCCTACCTGGGGAAACAATAGGAAACCCTAAGAAGTGCTCATATTTCTCTAATCTGTAGCTCAGGGGACATACCAACTCCCTAAATTTTTACAGACTTCTCTTAGAGTTCATTTGCTCACCATTTATACTCAAACTATACAAAACTATTTTTTTACACATTGGGTGCTTAGTAAATATTTTTTGAATAGCTTAGATATTATGAGAGAAGACTTTATTTTTACTCATTGAAAATGTGGCTGGTTTACATGATAGCTTTTCCTAATTCTGGAGTTATCTTCTGATCTCCTCAGTGGTAGGGATCCCCAATACACTGTACCCCACCAACATGCCTCTATGCTCAGAGTTGTCTTCAGTTCCAGCAATATGCTATATGCTCTTTGCACTCTGTTTCAGGTTGCACAGCCCCTGCTCAGCCCATTGAGCCAATAACTGCTCCTCCCAGCAGTGGCAGTGGCAGTGGCAGTGGGAGCAGCAGCTCTGGAGGCAGCTCAGGAAGCAGTTCTGGGGGCAGTGGATTCTGCGCCGGCAAAGCCAATGGTCTCTACCCCGTGGCAAATAACAGAAATGCCTTCTGGCACTGCTTGAATGGAGTCACGTACCAGCAGAACTGCCAGGCTGGGCTTGTCTTTGACACCAGCTGTGATTGCTGCAATTGGGCATGAACATGACCTGCATCTTCATTCCACAGATTTCTGAACACATCCTTTTGTTCCTATTAGAGTTCTGCAATAAAATCAGCACTCAAACATGAATGTTCTTGTTTTTAAGTGTTTTGCATGAAAATGTTTTCTATTTGTGAAAATGCAGGCTGTGCATGGGAGTGCCCAGTGTAGGAGAGTATGAGAATTAGCAGTAGAGACAGCATCCCCATAGTCTTCTATTACCTGGGCCCATCAGCATGAAGGCTAGAGGTGTCAGGAGGGGGTGTTGGAATGTTTGGCACAGGGTTGGAATGAAAATTTGAAGAGAATAATCTGTAACTTGGTGTTCTAGTCTGTTCTGTTGCTAATAACAGAAATATCTCAGTCTGATATTTTAAGAGACTAAAGGATTACTTAGCTCACACTTAAGCCATCCTGGGTCTAGGAGTCACATCTGGAGAGGGTGTTCTAGCTGCACCACAGCATAGTGCAAGATGAGAGAGCAAGCACCTGTGTCCATGTGTCTCTATTCCGGTTTCATTCCCTGTCTTTACTAACCCACCAGAACTCAATCATGGGAGAATCTCACCCTGATGCCTAATGATTTTCCAAAGGCCTCAATGAATTTTTCACTCTCCTAATTCCATCACAACCAAATCTCAACATACAAATTTGAGGGGGTGGGGAGCATTCAAACCATAGTACCTGGTAACCACCAGATTAGCTTGCTCAAGGAGTAGGAGGCTAGGGCAGTCTCTCCACTTCTTCTGGAAACCCAGAATAGGTCCTCCTGGAATAGTAGCTTTGGGAAGATCTGTGTAGCAGACTCCTTTTCTCAGGGGACTGCCTTATCTTTGAAATTGTAGGGGTGGCCACCAGCTACTGTGTTTTTACTGCATTGTCTTCTGGTTTGGCTAACTGCCTGGGGTGGACAACAGATTTTAAAGGACCAATCAGGGACCAGCAGATGGTGTAATGCTTAGGTCATTAGACTCCCATATGGTCTACTATGGTTTGAGTCCTGGACCCAGAAGCTTGAAACTCATGCTGGGAGTTTGCACATGTGTGTCCAAAATCCCAAGGGGAGAGTGGAGAGGGAATTGCTGTGTGTTCATTCCCCCAGGGGGATGATTTCTCACTGTCTCTCTGGCCTCTCCCTGTCTCTTCAGAGAGTGCATGTTCCCTATTGCAAAAATTTCTCTAAAAAATAAATAAATAAAAATAAAAGGGCCAATCAGATCATCACCCCTTAGAATTTGCAACTGGGGACACGAAAATGCCCGTCAAACCCTGAAAGTGGCTGTGCCTGTAATATGTAAGCTCAGGGCTGTAGTGAAGGATTGAGGAGGAGGGAAAGGTGCTCTGGGTGCAGAGAAAGAAGACTAAAGCAGAGATACAAAGGAAAGCCAGGAAGTGAATCAGAGAACACTTACCAACGACCAATTCTTGGTGCTAGCTCCTTTCTGAAGCCCCGGTGCATTTCTGCTTTTAGGTCCTGTCAAACACCCCAATCTGTAGTAAATTCCTCTTTGTTGCCTAAACTGGCTTGAGCTTGTTCCCTTCATTGGAAACAGAAAGAAACCTAACTAATAATAATGTAATAAGAATACAATGGTTATATGAAAATGTTTTCTATTTGTGAAAATGCAGGCTGTGCATGGGAGTGCCCAGTGCTAATATAGTTCTCCTAGAAACCTTATGAGGTAGTTACTATTAACTCTAGGAAATGGAAGTACAGAAGAATTTGGTAACCTGCCCAATGTTACATGGTTAGTTGGTGGTGAAGCCATACCCAAAGTCAGGCAGGCTGGGCCCAGAGCACAAGCTAGAACACGCATTATCCAGATTTCCATTTCACTCTCTCCTTCATTTCTTTCTTTTCTTTTTTTTTTTTCAATGAGGCTTTTTCCTAGCCACCCAGCCTAATACTGAAACCCTCCTTTGCCTTCTCCCCCTGCTATGCCTCCTTTGTTTTTATTGATAATTACCACTATCTGATAGACCATACCTTTTTTATTATCTACTTCCCTACTAAAAGTGACCTCTATGAGAAGGACAAGGATATTCATTGCTACATATCCACTGCCTAGAACAGTGTCTGGAATATTATAAGAGTTTAATAAATACTTGTTGAATGAATTAATGCATGAGAGCGTGAACCAAGATACGAGTATTCCAAGCATTGGATAAGGCCTTTTATATAGGTTGTCCCAATGTGGCAGGGTGAGAGAATTGAGATCTTCCAAAGATAAATGACTTACCTAGATCATGCAGTTGATAATTAGTAGAGATAATTCTCAAAACTGGGCATCTCTGACTCCCTTTATACCATAATGCTGCCTTGCAGAAAGCAATGTCACAATGACTTGCAGGGAACTGCCAGGGTGGGGCTGTTGCTAAGAAGCCAGTTTTACACCCTTCAATTTCTGAGTTCAAGTCCATGAATGAAAGTGGTGTCTCATGGAGAGAGGATATGAAACTTCCAGGCTTACCAAGGGTCCTTATGCGACACAGTTCTGGACCAGAGCTTTTTGGAAATCTACAAAGTCCTTGCCTGGAAAACTGAAAGTCAACAAAAACATGGCATGGATCAGCCCACCACGCATTTGGAACTTTGTTCATGGTAACCATGCTCTTGATTCATTTATAAACTCTAGTTCATCCCATCAGTATTGGAATCTAAATAGAAAGAGGTGGGATATACACACGATGGCATAAGGGCACTGATTCTGGGTGAAGATAGGTGGAACTCTCTTTTCACTAAGTCAGGAGCCTTGGCAAAAGGTGGCATTCATATAGATAAAGGGGCAACTTCTTTTCCTTGCCCAAAGGTACCATTGGCTCTAGCTGCAGCCCTGGACATGGAGGTAGTGTTGCAGGATTTCTGAGTTGCAAGTCTATGTCTCACAATCATGAAGAATTAGAAGTGCAGACAAGGGACCAGCAGTTGGCGTAATGGCTATGCCGCTGGACTCCCATGTAGTCCACCACGGGTTGAGTCCCAGACCCGGTGGCTTAAACTCATTCTGGGTGCGTGTGCATGCGTGCCCAGGATCCCGAGAGGAGAATGGAGGAAAAGGGATTGCAGCATGGCCATCCCCCCGGGGAGTGATTTCTCGCTTTCTGTCTCTTTCTACTGAGCACACGCACCCTATAGCAAAAAAATTCTCAAAAAAAAAAAAGTGCAGACAAAAGGATGGGGACAGCTAAGTTCATGGAAAGAGAAAAGCTCCCACAATTGGAGGGGTTCCTAAAGTGGGTAGCCAACTTGGGGGTTGGCCAACCATCAGAGGTTTTTATCCTAACTAGGAAGAACTTTTGAATGCTTTTTCCTCACAGAGGTTACGTACTAATCAGTTTATTCCTTAATGGTCAATGATTGCATAAGTCTTTGTCCAAGAACTTTGGGCTTAAGGGACTACTATCTAGTGATCACTGTTTACAAAGAAGCTAGAAGGAGACATCTGAGAGAGAAGGGGATCCTGGTCACATCAGGCCTCCCTGGAAAGATGATGAGTAGAGTTTTCACTGTTTCACTCCTCTGGCTGCCACATGAAAACTAGGGGCAAGGGACCAGCAGTTAGCGTAATGGCTATGTCACTGAATTCCCATGTAGCTGACCAAAGTTTGAGTCCCGGACCCAGTGGCTTAAACTCATGCCGGGCACATGTGCGTGTGTGCCCAAGATCCCGAGAGGAGTATGGAGGAGAAGGGATTGCAGCGTGGCTGTCCCCCCTGAGGGGTGATTTCTCACTTTCTATCTCTCTGTCTCTCTCTGTCTTTCTGGCGAGTGCATGCACCCTATAGCAAAAAAAAAAAAAAAAAGAAAAAGAAAGAAAGAAAGAAAGAAGGAGCGGTTTTTGCTAGAGAAGAGTGGATCCCAGGAGAAGCAGCTTCTACAACAGTGTAGTCGACAGGTAGGGGTAGGATGAACCACCATGGTGGTAGAAGAGGTGGCAGAAAGTGTTCTGACTGCAGTGATTTTTTTAAAAAGAGGTTTTTGCATTAGAGCATGTGGGTAAGTGCATTAATTGTTAAATGACAGCTATAGGTTAGTGTCTTGCATTCACTTTGCAAATTTGTCCTTGTGTTTGCTCCTTAATTCTTTTTTGTTTGTTTTTTTTGGAGCGGTTTTTGCTATAGGGCGCATGTGCTCACCAGAAAGACAGAGAGACAGAAAGCAAGAAATTGCCCCCCAGGGGGGATGGCCATGGCGCAATCCCTTCTCCTCCATTCTCCTCTTGGGATCTTGGGCATGCATGCACATGGACCCAGCGTGCTTGCTCCTTAATTCTAGTGGGAGTCCTACAAAGAAACAATTAGTGCTTTTTTCTGTTTTGTTTTTAAGGTTTTTGCCATAGCGCATGTGAACTCACCACAGGGGGGTGGGGGAGTGAGAAATCACCACCCTGGGGGAATGGCATATTGCAATTTTTCTCCATTCTCCTTCTGTGGTTCTGGGTATGCACACACACACGCCCAGTGTGATTTTCAAGCCACCAGGTCCATGATTCAAACTGCAGTGGGCCATGTGGAAGTCCAGCGCCCTAATCCCCATGCCACCCACTGGCTCCATTAGTGCTGCTTTTTAAAAGTTTATTTATTTATTTCTTCTATGAGAAAAGGCTATAGAGACAGGCACCCCCAAGGGTCCTCATACTGCAATCCACCCCAGCCTCAGCCAGCCTGGATTATAGGCACATGTGTACACCCAATGTGTACAGGGAGACCCTGGGACCTTCCTATGAAGGGCCAGTGTCACGGAGCACTGCATTACTGTTACGTTACTGCCTCTTGCCCAGATTACTGTCATTTTATAAATAAACCAAGGTTTAGATCATTTAAGGTCATGTGGCTTAGTAAACCACAGACCAATACTATTGAAAATGATCTGGGGTGCTGGGCATGCGTGCTGGTGTGCATACCCGTGGAGACTGGTGAAAGCCTATTAAAAAAAAAAAAAAAAAAACATAAAAATGGCTTCAAAAAGAGCTTTGGTCATCCTGGCCAAAGGAGCAGAGGAAATGGAGACGTCATTCCTGTAGATACCATGAGGCGAGCTGGGATTAAGGTCATTGTTGCCCACCTGGCTGGAAAAGACCCAGTGCAGTGTAGTCGTGATGTTGTCATTTGTCCTGATACCAGTCTTGAAGATGCAAAAAAAGAGGGACCATATGACGTGGTGGTCCTACCAGGAGGTAATCTGGGTGCACAGAATTTTTCTTAGTCCGCAGTGGTGAAAGAGATCCTGGAGGAACAGGAAAAGCGGAAGGGCCTCATAGCCACCATCTGTGCAGGGCCTGCTGGCCTATTGGCTCACAAAATAGGTTTTGGAAGCAAAGCTACAACACACCCACTTGCTAAAGACAAAATGATGAATGGAAGTCATTACAGCTACTCTGAGAATCGTGTGGAAAAGAATGGTCTGATTCTTACAAGCCATGGTCCTGGGACCAGCTTCGAATTTGCTCTCGCGCTTGTTGAGGCAATGAACGGCAAGGAGGTGGCCAATCCAGGGAAGGCTCCACTTGTTCTTAAAGATTAGAGCAGAAGAATGTGCCCATGAGTTAGAGGAACAGACCATTTGTGATCCATTCTCACTGTGTTCACATTAAACAAGTGCTAGCTAATGTGCCCCTAAGTTGTCATACCTGCTTTTGGGCACATGGATCACTCAGCCTACCAGTTGTGTCTGTACATTTCTGAACCTTGTTTGTAGAATAAACAGGGCATTTAGCAAAAAGAAAAAAAAAAAAAAAGATCTGAGGGAGTTTGAAAGCCTATGTTCTTTCTCTTCCACCAGAGGAGAGGCTAACATTTAGGACAGTCTGGAAAATGGGATTTAGAATGTCTATTTTCTTCCCCTCTGTCTCCCATCTCTAGACACATCTAGCCTCTAGCAGGATCTTGGATAGGAGGTTCTCAACCCTTCAAGGCCTACTTCAAAAATTTGAATACAGTTTTATTACTTCCAGTAAATATCAATACTTTTCTTATTTTTGCCAGAGGGCATGTGCACTTGCCAAAGACAGAAAGAGAGAGAGAGGGAAAAATACCTCCCCTCCCATGGGACATAGTTAGGCTGCAATCTCCTCTCCAACTCATTGGTATTTAGGTCATACATACACACACAGTGTTTTCCAAGCCATAGGGGCTGGGATTCAAACCCTGCTGTCAACCACATGTAATCTGGGTGCACAGAATTTTTCTTAGTCCGCAGTGGTGAAAGAGATCCTGGAGGAACAGGAAAAGCGGAAGGGCCTCATAGCCACCATCTGTGCAGGGCCTGCTGGCCTATTGGCTCACAAAATAGGTTTTGGAAGCAAAGCTACAACACACCCACTTGCTAAAGACAAAATGATGAATGGAAGTCATTACAGCTACTCTGAGAATCGTGTGGAAAAGAATGGTCTGATTCTTACAAGCCATGGTCCTGGGACCAGCTTCGAATTTGCTCTCGCGCTTGTTGAGGCAATGAACGGCAAGGAGGTGGCCAATCCAGGGAAGGCTCCACTTGTTCTTAAAGATTAGAGCAGAAGAATGTGCCCATGAGTTAGAGGAACAGACCATTTGTGATCCATTCTCACTGTGTTCACATTAAACAAGTGCTAGCTAATGTGCCCCTAAGTTGTCATACCTGCTTTTGGGCACATGGATCACTCAGCCTACCAGTTGTGTCTGTACATTTCTGAACCTTGTTTGTAGAATAAACAGGGCATTTAGCAAAAAGAAAAAAAAAAAAAAAGATCTGAGGGAGTTTGAAAGCCTATGTTCTTTCTCTTCCACCAGAGGAGAGGCTAACATTTAGGACAGTCTGGAAAATGGGATTTAGAATGTCTATTTTCTTCCCCTCTGTCTCCCATCTCTAGACACATCTAGCCTCTAGCAGGATCTTGGATAGGAGGTTCTCAACCCTTCAAGGCCTACTTCAAAAATTTGAATACAGTTTTATTACTTCCAGTAAATATCAATACTTTTCTTATTTTTGCCAGAGGGCATGTGCACTTGCCAAAGACAGAAAGAGAGAGAGAGGGAAAAATACCTCCCCTCCCATGGGACATAGTTAGGCTGCAATCTCCTCTCCAACTCATTGGTATTTAGGTCATACATACACACACAGTGTTTTCCAAGCCATAGGGGCTGGGATTCAAACCATGCTGTCAACCACATGAGATCCTGCTCTTTTAATCATTGAGCCACAGGGTTACCTTACTTTTCTTTCTTTCTCTTCTTTCTTTCTTTCTTTCTTTCTTTCTTTCTTTCTTTCTTTCTTTCTTCTTTCTTTCCTTCTTTTAGGTTTTTGTAATAGGTGCATGCACTCACTGGAGAGAGACAGAGACACAGAGAGAGGGAAATTGAGAAATCATCCCCCAAGGGGAATGGCATGCCTCAATCCTTTTTCCTCTGGCAGGATTTTCAAGCTGAAGTGTCCAGGATTTGAACTGGCAATTAGTCATGTAAGATCCAGTGCCTTAACCACCATGTCCTAATTTTTTTATATGTAGATTTTTGCTATAGGGCATGTGTGCTCACTGGAGAGACAGAGAGAGAGAAAACGAAAAATAACCCCTCCAGGAGAGATGGCCATGCCACAATCCCTTCACCTCCATTCTCCTCTCAGGA